TTTTAATTTTGGGGGGGAACTATCATACTGTTTTCCATAGCAGCTGTACCTTCTTACATTCCCACCAACAATTCACAAAGCTTCCATAATTGGGTTATTTGTCTTTTTATTATTGAGTCATAAGTTATATATTGTAGGTACCATTCCCTGATCAGACGTATGATTTGCAAGTATTTTCTCCCATTCTGTAGGTTGTCTTTTCACTTTCTTGATGGTGTCCTCTGAACCACAAAAGTTTAAAATTTTGATGATATCCAGTTTATCTATTTTTTATTTTGTTGTTTGTGCTTTTGGTGTCCTATCTAAGAAACCATTGCCTAATCCAAAGTCTTGAAGATTTATACCTATATTTTATTCTATAAGCTTTATAGTTTTAGCTCTTACATTTAGGTCTTGAATACATTTTGAGTTATTTTTTGTATATGGTGTGAGGTAGGGGTCTAACTTCATTCTTTTGCATGAGGATATCCAATTGCCCCAGTTGTACCAAAAGACTATTGTTTCCCCCATTGGATTGTTTTGGCATACTTGTGGATCAGTTGACCATAAATGTGAGGGTTTATTTCTGGACTCACAATTCTAGTCCATTGCTCTATAGTCTATCTTGATGCCAGTATCACAGTGTCTTGATTGCTGTAGCTTTGTAGTAAGTAAATTTTGAAATTGTGAATTGTGATTCTTCCAATTTTGTTCCTCTTTTTCAAGACTGTTGACACTGATCTTTTATTTTATTTTTATTTTTGGTGAGGAAGATTAACCCTGAGCTAACATCTGTTGCCAATCCTCTCTTTTTGCTGAGAAAGATTGGCCCTGGGCTAACATCTGTGCCCATCTTCCTCTACTTTATATGTGGGACACCTGCCACAGCATGGCTTTGTAAGTGGTGCATAGGTCCACGCTGGGATCAGAAGCTGCGAACCCTGGGCCACTGAAGTGGAGCGTGTGAACTTAACCACTACACTACCAGGCCAGCCCCCTGACACTGATCTTTTAGATTCTTTGTGTATGGTTATTCAACTACCATCTTCAAATACATCAACTGTAATCCAACCCAATTTTCTCCATCTTAACCATATGAATACTATGAGAGACCCAGACATATGCTTTGCTGAAATCAACAACGCTGTGCCTATCTCATTGATCTGACATACAAATTTAATAAGGGTTTGAAATAAGTGAAAGGAGTGTAATTTGGCATACTTAATTCTGTGCCAAACACATCAGCATCCTGGTGATCATCAAATTCTTTCCCATGTCTTCACAAACCATGTAATGACGCATTTTAAAATTCTGCTGGGGAACAACATCAAACAGATGTGTGGATCGTTTCTGAAATCTGCCCTTTTCCCCCTTTGCTAGTATCTGCTTCTTTCTGTTCTGTAACCATCTCCCAATATCTATGATGTCTCTGTGATTACAAAGCTACCAGAATTGCCCCTGATCTCATGGACACAGGTGAGGAGTTCACAGAAGTCATCTAAAGCAAACTTAGATGGTCATCTTTAGCAAACACAGATTGTATGCTATCCCAAGTTTGTAATTCTGGCACCACATCTGCCAGGAAGAGGCAGCAGGAAGCATAAAATACATTTAAAGTTGAGTACATGCATTCTGCTAAAATTGAAAGCTTTTATTCAGAAATTGAGTCAGTTCTGAGAAAATGTTTCATAAAATAATGAAGGTCTCCATGGCAGCTTTCTTCCAACTAACATCCTGCAGAGGATATTTTATTAACAGCTAGAAATTTGCTATTCCACTGTTGGCAGAGAAAAGACAACTCCTACCCTCAAGAAATTCAGCATCATGGAGAATAATGCTTTTTCTCCCCACATTCCATAGGGTTGTTTGCAGATATAAGCCACTACACCTTGTCAACATTTGATTTTCCAAAGTGATAAGGAAAAAGATGTGACATCTATATTAAACCAGACAGGAATCACTGACCAAGACACAAAGAATTGAGTTACATAGATCCAGGTGCAGCTTGAATTACAAGCAATAACATTTTTTTTTTGTATTATGAGGGATGTTGCACTTAAGTAAATTTCCATTTTACTGAAGCTTAAACCTATAAGCACTGGCACATTTTAGACCTTTTCTTCATGACTTGAGGTCTTTTCTATAAACTCATGTTGCAATGCCTTCAGGGTTAATGAACTGCTTAGAATTATTTGGTCTATACTGGAATGTCTACTGAGTCATTTGGCTTCTCATATGGTCTCCTCCTTTGTCAGCTGCCCTTCTTGGTTGTCAACAGACCCATTTCTCGCAGTGTCCCCATTACTATAACTACTTCCAATTTGTTATGGGCTAGATGACCAAATCACCAAGTTTGTTAGATTTATCAGAATTGTTTCTAAAGAAATAATGTGCGCGCACACACGTGTGTGTGTGTTTGTGTTTTAGGGAGCAAGAGATTTTCTTGTGAATAAAACACTGAAACACTGGTTAATGGTGCTTGATATCTATTGTAGCAGCCTAAAGACCTTCTTTGATCAATTCTTATTTCTCTAGCCACATTGAGGTACTGGATATAACAATTCACCTACCTGGTTCAGTTCTTAAACAGACTGCAAAGGGTTGGGGGAAGTGTCAAGACCATGTCTCCCAATAAAGCTTTGCTAGTTTTGATGAGATCAGAATCTAGTGCTTAGGAGACTGAAGACTATAGAGAAGAAGACTGAGTCTTGGCATCTCAAGACCAAGTCCTTGATCAGCTTATACCTCAGGTAAAGATGTGCAGGCCAGTTACTTACTCCATCTTAAAAGACATGAGACTCTTCATTGCTGTCTGCTCCCTCCCAGAGCTGTGAAGAAACAGCCTGCAGGGGGCTGGCCTGTGGCGCAAGTGGTTAAGTGCGCGAGCTCCACTGCAGTGGCCCGGGGTTCGCCGGTTCAGATCCCGGGTGTGCACTGACACACTGCTTGTTAAGCCATGCTGTGGAGGTGTCCCATATAAAGTAGAGGAAGATGGGCACGGATGTCAGCCCAGGGCCAGTCTTCCTCAGCAAAAAAAGAGGAGAATTGGCATTGGATGTTAGCTCAGGGCTGGTCTTCC